GTTGAAGAAATAGCTGAACTCCTGAATAGACTTTTCAACTCATGAGGCTCTACCTATATATGAGGGGATTTAAAGCCAGTTGACCTGCTGGCCCTGCCCCCAGAGTGTGATGAGGTGGAGATTGAGACTGGTGTGGTGGCACATGGCTATTATCCCAGCTCTTGGGAGGTTGAACACAGGTGGATCACTATGAGTCTGACCTACAGAGTGAGACCCTGTAGACCCTATACTAAGTACAAAAAAAAAATTAAATAAAAAATAAAACCAGTTGAACATTCAATGACACAAGCTGGGCATGGTGTAATCCCAGCACTCAGGAGGTTAAGGCAGGAGGATCCTTGTGAGTTTGAGACCAGCATGGGCTACAAAGTGAGCTCAAGGCCAGCCTGAACTGCACAGCAAGACCCTGTCTCCAAAAGACAAAACAAAACATTCAGCCACACAAATATGCCCCTCCCATTACACAATCACAGAGAACAAAATGTTCAAATTGCAAACCCACAACACTGTGCAAATGGTTTCTAAATGAAAAAAAACTTAAGCCCAGCTCACAACATAGTAGGGCAAGGCTACCCCCTATATCTTGATGAGGAGAGACTGACCTTCTCCCTGAGAAATAAAACAGACATCAGTCAAAGCAGCTGCTGGTTCCCTTTCAAGCACTCCCAGAGGCAGCCTGGGCACTATCACTCCAATTATGGGCCACGCTTAGCCTGTTAACCGCCACTGGGGTGTGAGTCTCTATGCTGTTTTATGTTCCCCCATCTCACCATGCTTCCAAGAGTGTCCTTTCCATCCTGTCCTTGCCATGCTTGTTCTCACTCAGTCTCTCAACCTCCACAGAGACTAAGGCCATCTTCTCTCTCTGCAGTTCCTCTACACACCACTGCCTGCCTGCCAGCTTGACAGATACTTGTACCTTGTCTGTCTGTCCCCACAAGTGGACCTTCTTAATAGCTCCCAGCCAGTCCCAGTTCCAATCAAGGTATTGACCCCACAAAACCAAAAAATGACGGCAATACCATGCTTGCCCTTACTGGTAGGAATGGGACCAACAGCGAGACCAGTGCTGGGACAATGGGGTTTGCAATCTCACCTACTCCAACCAGCTCTAATCTAGTTGAGAGCTTACAAAAGATGGTGAAGAAACTCACAGCTCTCCAAAATCAAATAAATTCCCTAACAAGAGTAACTTCATGGTCTGGGCTGCCCAAGCACCTGCCTGGCAAGTGCAAGGACCCAGGTTCGATCCCCAGTACTGCACACCATGCCAGTCCTAGGCCCCTGAAACTGGGCATGGTGGTGCACACCTGTAATCCCAGCACTGGGGAGGCTGAGACAAGAAGATTACTATGAGTCAAAGCTGTGTAGCAAGACCTTGTACCAAATAAACAAACAAAAGATTTAAATTAATTAATTAACTAAAAGAGTAACTTCACAAAATCAGAGGGGACTAGACCTCCTGACTGCTGAAAAAAGGGAGCTATGTCTATTCCTAGAAGAAAAAAAATGTTTTTATAGTAACCAGTCTGATGTAGTTAGAGATGCAGCATGGAACTAGCTTGCCCTGCTTCTAAAATTCATCAAAAATTGTCTGAGTTGTGGGCATCCTGGTCAGGGCTCTGATATTGGACATCTTGGTTACTCCCTTATAGGGCCATTATTAATGCTTCTGGGAGCCCTGCTATTTGGACCCTGTTTTTTTCAATCTCTTAGATTTGTTTCTTCTCACTTGACAGTTTTAAAACTACAAATAACGAGGTGGGCAGACTCACCATGAGCGTTCCTCCTAACTTGTATTCAGGAGCTTTAGAGAGGCCTTACCATAGTGGGCATGACTGCCACTCCCAACAACACCCCCTCCCAGCAGGAAGTAGCTTGCAAGCTCCTTAGTCCACACACCCTGACAGTGGTGAGCGTCACTACTATTAGAGGGGAAAGTAAAGCCAAGAGGTAGGGAAAGTTAGGACAAAGGTCTTGAATACTTAACTTCAAGTGAACCAAGTCAGGACCTACGTAGTTAGCACACCAGAAGCCCTGAGAAATCAGATCTTGCCAGTAGGGTATCTGGTCCTAATAAAGTGCAAGGGACAAAGAACAAATCCCTAAATATATAAGAGAAACCCTGGAGGAAGTAAAATACAAACAAAACAATTCACACTCAGGACATCAAAGGCTTACCTACAACCAGGAGCCTCCCCACTTTCTGTCACATACTGGTATCAAAAACTATATGAAGACCCTGAGTGTAAACTTCCACTATATCTGCCTGAGTGGAACCTTCCTTCAGCTATGGAGAGCTGTTCTTTCTCTTTAATAAACACACATTTAGCCATTCCCCACCTCAGTCCTTGCTGCTTTGTTGACTTATTCTTTGTTGCTCCCAAAACAAGGACCCAAGAGCTACAGGGCTCCAGTTACACAACATGGCACAGGCAAAGCAATGGAAGAAGTCAGATAGTTCTGAAAGAGAACCAAACAAGTAGAGGATGTATTCTGTGACACGAGCAATACTCAAAAGGCAACAGGTGCCTGGTTTATCAGATGGGGGTTAAATAATTACTATGCAAGTTCAGCTTTACATACACCAATTTCCAAACAAGCCTACATTTTACATGCAAAAAGCAGAAGTGTTAAGAAACATAAGCCAGGGCTGGCAAGATAGCTCAAT